AAAAAAAAAAAGTTTCTGGCAGCATTCTGTCTTTATATTTTAGGATTGCAGAAACACAGCAAATCAAATTTTACTTTAAAAGGTAATTATAACCTTTGAATCTACATAGTGTGCCTTGGAAACTTCAGTATGGGTTATTTATTTATACATTTCTTTAAAATACATAACAACTATTATGTCAAAGAATAGCTTTAACTTTAATAGAGCTTAAAATTTATTAACAATAGTTGGTCTTTATTTCTTACAAGAATGAATTTGCTGACAATACAGGCTGCTTACCATCGGTGTCGAACTACTATTGTGCTGTCATCATCAATGTTCAGCGTAGAAATGTAAGCATAAAGAATGCCGTAGAAAGGGTCAGCCTTCCCTTCGTTCTTCGAAGCTTTTACCTTTAATTGCTCAACTGTATAGACATCAACTATTGTATTTACTAAAAATAAAAAGTAGTTATTACAGCTCTCTATATATTCTAAGAATGCCAAAGGATTATATCCAAATAGAAAAAGCTATAAAGTTCAAATGAGAACACGTAATAGCTTCGGTTGAGTAACAGAAAAATTATTACATTTGCTATATTGAAACTGATTGTGTAAATGGACATAACAGCAAAAATAAGCAAAAAAGGGAAAAGAATGAGAAATTTAATTCATTTTATGTCAATAAAGACTTTGTGGTCATTGGAAGATGCCATTAAAAGAGTGGGAAGGCAACCATCAGCGTGGGAGATGCTAGCAATCTTTAAAGGAGACAAAGGACTCATATCCAGAATATATAAATAATTCTTAAAAATTAATAAGAGGGTCGCCTGGGTGGTTCAGTCATTAAGCATCTGTCTTCGGCTCAGGTCATGATCCTGGAGTCCCAGGATGGAGTCCCACATTGGGCTACCCGCTCAGCAGGGAGTCTGCTTCTCCCTCTGACCCTCTCGCCTCTCATGATCTCTCTCTCTCTCTCAAATAAATAAGTAAAATCTTAAAAAAAAAAAAAAAAGATTCTGAAATCAGTCCTCCATTGTTGGCAATTGAAATGGTTTCTAATCATTTGCTAGTAGAATGAGCACATTTGTGGTTACTTCATTGGGCTAGGTTCCCATAGGCAGAAGAGCTGGTTCAAGGGTGTGCTCATATTGAACGTGTATTAGTTTAACCAGCAGACATGAGGTTCAGCTGAGACAAGCCCACCAAGCTGACAGACTTCAAAGCAAACCAAAAGGTGTGAGGCAGGAGCAGGTTCACAGCAGCCCCCTTGGGCAGCACAAATAGCACCCAGAGAGGTCAATGTTCACCACTGTGGTGGCATGAGCTTTGTCACAAACAGCTGACAACAGAATTGCAGGTGTAGCACACAAAGTCCTTGGCTTCAAGAATAAAAAACAGAGACACCAATTTCCACAATTCCTGATCTTGCTAAAATCACAGTAGTCCTAGCACCCAGGAGGCACATTTCCCCCCAACTTTTTGAATAAATTTAAACCTACTAAAAAGTTGAAAGACTAATACAGTGAACTCTACACACCCTTCATTCGATTCAGTAATTGTTAATATTGGTTATGTTTGTTCTCTCTGCGTCTCTCCATACTCCGTCTCTCTCCGCATATATGCATGCCTGAACAACTTAGGCTGGAAAACTGGAAATGAGTTGCAGAAAAACTCTACCCTTCCGGTATGCATCTCCTAAGGATAAGG